ATATGCAAATAACTGCTTTTACAGTTATTTTTAGTAGTGTTTAATTCAATGTATGTATATGCGTATACATGATCACATCTCCATAGAATTACTCTATGAAAATAACTGCTTTTACAGTTATTTTTAGTAGTGTTTAATTCAATGTATGTATATGCGTATACATGATCACATCTCCAGAGATTTACTCTATGAAAATAACTGCTTTTACAGTTACTTTTAGTAGTGTTTAATTCAATGTATGTATATGCGTATACATGACCACATCTCCATAGAATTACTCTATGAAAATAACTGCTTTTACAGTTATTTTTAGTAGTGTTTAATTCAATGTATGTATATGTGTATACATGACCACATCTCCATAGAATTACTCTATGAAAATAACTGCTTTTACAGTTATTTTTAGTAGTGTTTAATTCAATGTATGTATATGTGTATACATGACCACATCTCCATAGAATTACTCTATGGAAATAACTGCTTTTACAGTTATTTTTAGTAGTGTTTAATTCAGTGTATGTATACATGTATGTGTATACATGACCACATCTCCATAGAATACTTTATGCAAATGATTGTATCCATGACAAAGTATTTAATAATACACAGCTGTAGAATAAATCTGCACAGTCAGCGTAAAATGAATCTATGATGACAGATTGCACCAGATTTCCACTGTATGTACTGGAAATATTTTACATGAGATGCACACTGTAACTCACATGGGTGAAAAAACACAGTATCTAACAGCACAAAGATCAATTAAATCAGTACATTATACATGTTCATTGTAACTGACAAATATGTAAGCTAGACCAATGATGAAATGAAACCAAATAAACTGAAAGGTAAAGAAATGATTAATTCCTGGTACAGTATATGTTATGCATGTGTAAACATGAGTAGTGTTCTATTTTGTACACACATACATGCTTCGACTTCACCATGTTATACATGTACAATGTATGATGATGTGATACAAAGATGACATTTTAATTAGAATACATGCAGTATTGAATAAGCATAAAATATTCAAATTACAAGCATTTTTATGAAATCAACATAGTTATATTTAGAGAATTTTTCAGCGACTCAGAAGTAGTAAATGTACAATATTAATTGAACATTACAAATTCAGAATTTTACAACAATTCATTTTCGCATATAAATGTTGTGGATTTGAATCACATTTGTAAGCATTTTATACAACAAAAAGTGGTTTTTTTTTTTAATTGGATTAACGACACATGTGATAAGTATCTACAAATTAAAATTCAGTTTCAGGATCAATCTTAGAAAAAAGGTCATAAAAACAACTGCCTTTTAATTGCTTGGTTAATTTATATGATGATCACATTTATCAGATTTTAAACAGCTGTGTTTTGATTAGAATTTGTGTTATAAAACAATGTTTCACAATATATGTTTTTTTTAAAACATGTCATATTACATTACTAGAAGCTTTTTTTTAATAAATAAATAAATAAATACTAAAACTATATAGTAGAGTAAACTGTATTAGTTAACTGATTAATACATTTTAAAAGTGATAAAAACAATTTTTATTCATTTTAAATAATATTTTTTTTTTTTAATTTTATCATTATATATTATACTGTAAAAAATTATATTTTTGCTATTTTCACTTAACGGATGAAACAGTAAAAATAATTTTATACTTTTTTTCCTATACTTTACATTTAAATCAGTCAAACTAAACTTAAACAGCCAAAATGTTTGTTTTTTTCTACTAAAATTAATTCCAGCTATTAGAAATAAAGTATTTTATAGCACAGTATTAGTAGCAGTGTTTACCTGTGGTGAGCTAGATGTAGTATCTGATGTTTCTGTATTAACAACTATGTTATTTACCTGTGGTGAGCTAGATGTAGTATCTGATGTTTCTGTATTAACAACTATGTTATTTACCTGTGGTGAGCTAGATGTAGTATCTGATGTTTCTGTATTAACAACTATGTTATTTACCTGTGGTGAGCTAGATGTAGTATCTGATGTTTCTGTATTAACAACTATGTTATTTACCTGTGGTGAGCTAGATGTAGTATCTGATGTTTCTGTATTAACAACTATGTTATTTACCTGTGGTGAGCTAGATGTAGTATCTGATGTTTCTGTATTAACAACTATGTTATTTACCTGTGGTGAGCTAGATGTAGTATCTGATGTTTCTGTATTAACAACTATGTTATTTACCTGTGGTGAGCTAGATGTAGTATCTGATGTTTCTGTATTAACAACTATGTTATTTACCTGTGGTGAGCTAGATGTAGTATCTGATGTTTCTGTATTAACAACTATGTTATTTACCTGTGGTGAGCTAGATGTAGTATCTGATGTTTCTGTATTAACAACTATGTTATTTACCTGTGGTGAGCTAGATGTAGTATCTGATGTTTCTGTATTAACAACTATGTTATTTACCTGTGGTGAGCTAGATGTAGTATCTGATGTTTCTGTATTAACAACTATGTTATTTACCTGTGGTGAGCTAGATGTAGTATTATTTGATGTTTCTGTATTAACACCTATGTTAATATCTTCTGGTGAGGATTGCTTAGCTGATGAATCCAGTGATGATTCTACATCTTCTTCAACATCCACAGCCAGAGCTTCATTAGTTTGGGAGTCTGAGGGATCACTACCCGGCTCCTTTGATAGAATTAAAATGCACATTATCAGTATAAACAGCGGAGTTATGCTGGAATACCATATGTCTAGCATTATGGAAGAACTCATTCCATATAATCAGACACAGCAATTTTCACATCTTCCCTACAAAGCTGGAAATATACTAGATATGGAAAATTAGAGTAGGATCCGAGAAAACATAACTGCTCTGTCATGTTATTCACTACCGGTATTACATATACCACACATGACATCAAACCACCAGGCTGTTCACAGTTGTAGGTATGCAGCACCACTGGCCACACCTCTTTTACTGATAACAAAATCCGGCACAGACCAGTCTAAATATGACTACCGTAATCCTCCAATTGATCAAAAATACCACAAGCTTTAATTAATACCCAATTTTGAATTTAAAAATTAATACCAGCAAAACAATTTTTGAGGTAGATTAACACTTTTAAAATGACCCTGAATCATTTAAACACAGAATTTTTTTTAATTTTAATAAGGGCAACATGAACACCTTGGAGTTTTTTGAAACAGATATTTTATCTGATATTGTGTACTGTATTTATATTATATAATCCCACGCTAATTTATCTAAGATTGATGTGATCAGACACAAGTGAATTTGATGAAAAGAAGACACATAAAGGAGCTCTGAATTTACCTCTTAGAGCGCATGCAAGTCAGAGAAGCTAAATAAAGTAACAGACGTTTGAAAGCATGTTCACTTCATAAGACATGTTTTATTTTTCATGATTAACTGCAATAAAAGGTGATTTATGACAGAACGACTCAAGCACAGACCATAAAGAGCTCTACCATGGCTACATCCATGTATTGTATATGTTCTATTAGAAGCCCATCTCAAATGGAAGCACATTATGTAAAACAAAAAATTGCATTGCCTGTATACTGAATCATTAAAATATGTATTTTATCCATAGTAACACACCTGTTATGTCCACTACTAACAAAACAAATACAGTATTATAATTTGCACTGAGATGAACTCCTATCAATTGAATTATGAGTAAGATATGAAGGTAGTGAAAGAAAAACAATAATGCCCTAGTGCCATGTTGTTTTTGAGTGAATTGTACTGCATTTGTCGCTGCATGTATTTTATAAATATTCCTTGAATGAACAATATACTATTTTCATATAGGGAGTGAAGACTCTGTTCGTACATGTATATTTTATTTTAGCACATGTCTGGGTAAGGAAAGAAGAAAAAAAAACCTGCGAGCAACCCCCGTTTTAACTGATAAGCACTGACCAGAAACAAATATTTTTGTTGTTGCTGTCCTAAATTAGTTAGAATATTTTTGATAACTGGGAAGCTATTAAACCACACCTACTACCTCAAATCTGTACACGTCATCATACTGCATATGTAAACGTCAACGTGTATGATAGGATATGATAACACGTCAGTATAGTACATTTCACTGTGAATAAAAAGGTCATAAACTTTGATAAATCACCTGCTTGTACCCATATATTAGTGATATTCAAATTTCAGTTCTCCCTCCTCCAATTTATTTACCTATACTAAGTTGTAAATGAATCTATCAGCAGACAAATATTTACATCTACTGCTAGTATCACAACTCTATTGCAACACTCTTGTACATGGCTTGAACTTTGCAGTTGAGAGGGCATCCATTTTCAAGGTAAAATTCCTGAAATAGTTTGGGGTACATTTTTATTTTTTCAAAGCATCAAGGCAAACTTTTTTGGCAATGAGGCAATCGCTTTTGATTCCTTGTGAAGTTTAAGCTCTGCATGTACATTTGTATTAATATTAGGTAATCTTCAGAATTCATATTAATGTCCATTTACTGTATCAATGAAAATTTGCTTTGTCAGTAAAAAAACAAAGGTTCTTCTAAACCTCACAATTAGTAAAGTAAAATAAAATGATTAATAAGTTCACTGAAATTGTTACCACTTGCATACCCAAGTGAAGGAATACTATGCTTACATTACATTTCACTGATAGAGAGAAAAATGATAGCTATATTGGTTGCTGTGACCTTGCAATCTGCAATCTAAAAACCATGTAAAAGCACTATACACATGAAGTGTATGCACAAGTGCCTTTAGCAAATGTATTGTTACATACAGAGAAACATTGTTACATGTAGGTATTAACCAAGGTGGTGTCTCCAATAAATGAGCTGCATGGCATATGGAATATTACCAAAGGCCAGAAACACAATTCTACTTGTAACATTTCATTTAAATTTACATATCACAGCTTTTTTGTCAGAATTTCAGAATAAATGTTATCAACAAAAGCATAATTTCAATGACAATGTTGAAACATAGTTAAACTACACATGGATTGCCCTGTATATGCAAGGCAGGCAGATCATGTCATAGGGTGGGGATATCATTACATAAAATGTACATGTAGGTGGGGCAGAACACAGCATAAGATGGAAAGAAGGAGTACAAAGGGTAGGGAAAAATCAATACATTATTATTGAATTTATCATGCCAAAAATTATGACTGACATGTTGCCACCTACTATGACTTTCCCTTCTCATTCTACTGGCAAGCCAAAACAAACAAAAAACAGACCCCCCCCCCCCACCAAGCAAATTATTGCTGTAAACATTGTACATTAATATTATACAGTAGTTTTCATAAAAGATAATTTTTTTTGAAATAATAATATCCATATATATGTATACTGTAATTTAAAATAAAAACCAACAATTGTATGGAGTAATTTAACAATTTAACATGTACACTGTTATGATTTCTAAAATAATAGTTTTAAAATTTTTACATAGGGAATTCCCTGAAAAGCATCACATTGCAGCCATCCTATCCAGTGACATATTGGACCACATACGTTGACACATCATATCTGAGGTTATTGATTATGGCTGGGCCAAAGTGATGTATAGTGTGTGTGTGAAATACAGTGTACGCTTATATTTGACTATGTTCTATTCAAAATTAATAATGTCAATAAAGTCATTATTATTATTATTATTATATAACATTTGAATGCGCATTTTTATGCATGTAGAAGGGAAATTACAAATATAGGTCAATGTCTTCATTTATTAAATTTATGGCTCATTATTTGTGCTATCAAACAAAAATGGGTCATTTTTTTTTTTTTACCCAAGTGTAAATTTTTTTCTCTAAAACAATTTAATCAGACGGAAGCATGGTCGACAAACAACATAGCTTTGCATGCATAATCAAACAAGGAATATGGTTGACTGACTTACCTGGTATGAATGCTCAGTGTTATGAATTAACAATGGATCGTCTGTGCGGGGCAGATTATTGCCTACGTCCACACCTTGGTTACCACTTGAAGAGCTTTCATGAGTTGGGTTATCACACTGCAGCCAGGGAGGAAAGCTATAAAAAAAAAAACAAGACAGACAAGCATCGTAAATAAAAAAGTACAACTCACCACCTTCTAACAATAGTATCATTGTATTTTGCCAGCTACTGTTAAGCAGATAAACGATATCCTTGCGTGGTAAAACTCGCCCAACCTTGTACATTCAAATTACTATAGTACTACTTGTAGCAGACCAGACATGTAACAGGACAACCCACATGTAAAAGCAGCACAGACTTAATTTTCAACAACAATTCTATGAGAGGAATATAACATTCTTATACTACATGTATGAACTGTGATAGCATCAGCTGTGTTCTGACGTGAAATACCAAGGTATGAAATGTCACACTATGGATACAGTTAAAAAAATACACCAGAGAATTCAGACAACTGACATGTCAGGATTCACCAAATGGAAACGTTTGTTTGGCCAGAATAAGAAGACAACATACAGTAGCTTGTTTCATGCAGACAGCCAGGAAAATATCTTACTTGAGCCATTACAGAAATGGAGGTCAAATATCAAACATTATGGAGCCAATGATATACTGGATGTTAATCCACTGAAACAATATCAAAATGAAATTACAAGAAAGTCGAAAGAAGATAATCCGTGCCCATGTGAAGAAGCGGATGATAATATCAGAAACAATGATAACACGAGGCAGGTGAGACAGGACCACATTTGTCGAGTACATCTTGGTAGCATTTCAGCTGAGCATGTCCCAAGTGATATCCGAGACACTATAGTACTACAAGTGGATATACATTTACCACCGACTGATGAAGAACGTCGGCAGCTTGCAGCTAGAAAGCTATCAGGTAGTACAAGACGCAGAGATGAAATGCCAAGAATTACAAAAAGGCGCCGGTTTGGGATGGTTCACCATGAACCACTACACATAACTGACAATGACTCCAAAATGGTAGAAGATATGCCTTCATCAAAGAAGATGGTGTTGAATGTTGGAGAACATCACATCATACATCCCTTTACATGGTTTGGGCACAGACCCAGCCGGGGTGAAGCCGTACCAAGTGATGACGAGTCACAAGTTCAGATTATTGGTGGACATGAACAAATACCATTAAAACTCATTCGCCGCCCTGAAAGTACAACTGATGAGGACTTGTACCTTTCAAGTATTAGGATTGAAAAAATGCAATACACTCATCCAATACCACTGGAAAAATGCCCACAGCGGAAGAAGCGAGAGACAAGAAATGTGATTAAGTTTACCAAAGATATGGTTTTAAGAATGGAAGTACAAGCACTGATAGCGACAACACTGGCAATGTGTTTATGGCTGCCACCTGCTATAACAACACTGTCATTTAAACTACACATGTGTGCTTGTATTATGTTAATGACATGTTCATCTATTATTATTTCACTAATTTGTGTATACTGAGTGATGGTGTACTTGCTCATTATTTCATCCAATTACAGTGGAGATGCTCTTTTGTTTTGAGGTGTAA